TCTATGCATTCTTTTGTTGAATGTGTAGACTACCAGTCAATGCAAAATGTAATGGATTGGACGAAGCTGAAAGGCATAGTTTTTTTTGCCTGTTGGCTTGAATTCATTCCTGCTCTCACAGGAATCTATGGTAAACTTTTGTTATCTATAGAGGAAGAAGGGATAACTTGGAGTCAATCTTTCCTTACTAATGAGAGTAACTGGTGAGATTCATGTAGAGATAGTCCTCGACTTATGACCACAATAGAGCCCAGAATTTATGTAGCTAAGTGAGAACTAAGTTTGTCCCATTTTACAACTTTCCTTGCCATATTTGCTAAGTGAATCACTGCATTTGTTCAATTAGTAACACGGTTGTTAAGTCAACCTGGCTTTCTATGCTTTGTTTTGCATTATTGAGCCCAAAAGGGGGGATACAGGTACTCCTCAACTTACGACCACAATGGAGCCCAACATTTCTGCTTGTTAAGTGAGACATTTGTTAAGTGAGTTTTTGCCCCCTTCTACGACCTTTCTTGCCCCAGTTGTTAAGCGAAATCACTGCTGTTGATAAATTAGTAACATGGTTGTTAAGTGAACCTGGCTACCTCCTTGATTTTGCCTGTTGGGAGGTCGCGAAAGGGGATCGCACGTGCTTTGGGACACAGCAACAGTCATAAGTATGAAACAGTGGCCAAGCATTCGAAATTTGATCACACGATCATGGAGATGCTGCAAAGGTCTTAACTGTGACAAAAGGTTACTTTTTTCATCGCTGATGTAACTGTTGTAAATCAAGGACTACTGGTAGCATGATGACTGTGTATGGTTAGGTCAGCTCAGTTCAGACAACCTGTGCAAGAATGAACCTAATGCCCAGAAGATCATGGGTTGCCCTCTCCCCTCTTTGGAAGAGCTTTATAGCTCCTGCTGCCTTAAGAAAGTTCAAAACATTCTCCAAGATCCATCTCATCCTGGGAACCCTTTTTTTGAACTATTACCATCTGGCAGACGGTACAGGATAATAATAAAAACAAGGACAAATAGGCTGAAAAACAGCTTCTATCCCAGGGCAGTAACTCTATTTGATTCTACTATATAGTGCAGTGTTGGTGCGGTGTCGGGTGGGTTTTTCAATTCAACGTGTAGAGTGTGAAGGATGTGTGTTTGTGTTTATTTTCATGGTCATGATGTGCACTGAAGATGGTGTTTGATTTTGTTGTACGAGGTGCAATGACAATAAACTAAAGTAAACTAAACTAAAAAGGCACCCAAAGGCCAGACAAGGAATAATGGATGGAAACTGATCAAGGAGAGATTCAATCTGGAAATAAGGAGAAATGTTCTGACAGGGAGAACAATCAACCAGGGGAACAGAAGTTGCCTTCAGAAATTGTGAGAGCTTCATCACTGGAGTCTTTCAAGAAGAGACTGGACTGCCATTGTGAAGGATGTGTGTTTATGTTTATTTTCATGGTCATGATGTGCACTGAAGATGGTATTTGATTCCATTGTACGAGGTGAAATGACAATAAACTAAACTAAACTATGTGCTTTCTAGTCTCTGGCCACTAGGAGGCAGACTCTTAAAATGAGTCAGCCAAGACCAGGAGTGAGAAATACTGTACAGGTGGTCCTTGACTTACGGCCACAATTGAGCCCAAAATTTCCTGTCGCTAAGCGGGACAGTTATTAACTGAGCTTCACCCAGTTTTATCATCTTTCCCATCACAGTTGTTAAGTGAATCACAGTAGTTGTTAAATTAGTCACACTGTTGTTACTTAATGACCAGTTGTGGTTGTTACATCAAAGGCCATTTGTACAGGTAGTCCTCGGCTCACAACTTAGTTCACTTAGCGACCATTCAAAGTTACAACATCACTGAAAAAAGTGACTTATGATTTATTTTTCACACGTCAGACGGCTGCAGCTTCCCCCAGGGTCACACAACCACAATTCAGACAGTTGACAAGAGACTCACACTTATGACAGTCGCAGGAACCCAGAGTGATGATGTCATTCCCTTTTGCGACCTCCTAACAAGCAAAGTCCATGGGGAAACCAGATTCACTTAACAACCGTGTTAATACCTTAACAACTGCTTCCATCTTTCCGACTTCGGTAAAATGGAGACCCAGATTGTTGGGAGCATTATGCTGACACTGTAAACTGTTCCGAAAGTGCTGTAAAATCCTATGGAGTAGTTAATGTGCAGTTCTGCAGGCTGTTTCTGCTGCCTGGAATTTGGCAGATCGAATCTCGCCAGGTTCAAGGTTGACTCAGCCTTCCATCCTTCCAAGGTGGGTAAAATGAGGACCCAGGTTGTTGAGGGCAAATATGCTGACTCTGTAAACCACCTAGAGAGGGCTGTAAAGCAGTGTCAAGCGGTATATAAGTCTTAAGTGCTATTGCTACATAAGTCCTAAGTGCTATTTATAGGAACCGTCATTTTTTTAAACATAAAATTGTTGTGTTCTGGAGGACTCAACCCTCTTCTTTTTCTTTCCCACCAGATGACCGTCCCAAGGCCGGCCCAGTAGTAAGTAAACCGGTATCCTTGGAGACTAGTAAATCGGCTTCCCCATCTCCCCCTCCGCCCCTGACCGAGGTGGAGCCTGTGCAGCCGGCCACTGTGACGCTGGTGCGCCCAGAGAGCCCTGTTGCTGTGGACACTAGAGAGGAGCTGCTGGAGGTCCCTGAAGACATCCTCGAGCCTGTTAGCACCACCACTACAGTGCCAGGGGGGCTTGTGCCCCCTCCGGAGTCCTTCGTTTTGGACACAGAACCTCAGGAAGAGGTCGCTGCTAGCCCTGTTTTGGAGATTCCTTCCCAGCCACCCCCAGAAACACAGGTGGAGGAAGAGGTGGTAGCAGAAGAGACAGTGGTTACCCAACAGGAGGCTTTTCAACCCGAGGAGCCTCCCTTAGCGCTGCCGTGCGCCCCTCCCGATCCTTCTCCGCCGCTGGAGGAGGTGGCGGCTGAAGGGGGGGAGGCCATTGAGTCAAATGGGGTCTTAGAGGAGGAGCCACTGGAGGCGATGCCCGAGGTGCCCCCGTGCGAGCCAGAACCGGCCATGGAATCCCCCATTGCTCAGCCGGAAGAGCAGGCAATACCTGCAGGACTTGAGACCCCAGAGAAGCAAGAGGCCGAAGAGCCAGAGGAAGAGCCCGAGTCGGATATCAGCCCCATCTCTGAACCCGAAGAGGTCAAGCCCGAGGAGGTGATTGTCCCAGTGGCCGCGCCTGCTGTAGAAGAGGAGACGGAGCCAGAGGAGGAAGTGGAGGAGGCAGTCGAGGTCCCGGAGCAAAGTGCGGAACCAGTGGTTGCGCCCTTGGAGACCGCGGAAGTGACGACGCAAGGTGAGTTATCCACAGTACATTTTCCACCCAGCCGGATGCAATCTTAGTCTTTAAGAAGTCTGTGATTTGCAGAACGAGGGATGCTCTCTGAGCTTGGCTGTTTTTCTGCGGAAATCTCATTAACCGAACTAGGCAATATCATCAGTGCAAGTAAGGAGTGGGGTTTGTTCTCAGTTTATAAGACAGTAGCTTGTCCTGCTGGTATTGATAGAAGTGTAGGGTTTTTTTCTCCTTATTACCGTGTTTCCCCGAAAATAAGACCCTGTCTTTTTTTTTGGCCACCAAAAAAGGCACCAGGTCTTATTTTCAGGGGATGTCATCCACTGACTAACCTCACTTGCATGCATCACCCTGCCCTCCTTTTCGCTGTCAGAGGCCTTCAGGAACAACTTCTGTGGCCGGCAAGGCTTTCCTGAAGGCCTCTGCAGTCAATAACAGAGCTCTGGATCGATCCAGAGCTGCTTTGTTATCAGCTACAGAGGCCTTCAGGGAAAGCCTTGCCAGCCTTGCCGGCTGCAGAAGAATTGGGCCGGCAAGTCAGGTGTCGGGGTGTACGAGGCCTGGCTAAAGCTGTCCAAAGGTGGTAGGGCAGTTCCAACCCCCCCCCCCCCCCACACCCCCACATCCCCCCAGCATAATTTTTACCCGTGCACTCTGGAGTGGGCGGGATCTTAATTTGGGTTTATTTTGGGGTAGGGCTTATATTGTGGGTGCATAAGTAAAAACCAATCTAGGACTTACTTTCAGGGTAGGTTGTATTTTTGGGGAAACAGGGTAGTTCCTTGATTAAGTTACTGTTTTTGCTTCTTTGTCTGGTGTTAATCCCTGCTTATCTAGGTGTTGATTGCTGGACAAGTACAAACTACAAGGAGTAAAACTGCACCTCCTCCAATACCAGCAGGGCAAGCTATTCTATATAAACCAAGAGCAAAGCCCACTCTTTACTGACACTGATGATGTTACCTAGTTTGGGTACTGAAATGTCTGCAAGAAAAAGAAAAAAAAATCAAGCTCAGAGAGTACCAAGGACCCCTCATTTCAACCCAGAACTACAAATATTCTCCTTTATTGATATGCAGGAACCTTTGTTTTCCTTTTATAATACAGAGATAGAAACTTCAAGTCTTCCAGGTGGGTTGAATTAAAGCATCCAGAGTCCGTCTCCAGGCCTGGCTGACTGGGGCTACTGAGAAATGTGGTTCTGGTCCATCTCAGGACATTTTCCACGAGCAATTCACAGAATCTGTTTGGGCCAAGTTGGGATCCTTCCCTGTGGCTTTAGCTTTGCATGGTCTTTGGCAGGATGCCATCTTAATGACTACTTTCAGTTGTACCAGAGGGCATTGGGTTGGCTATTTCTGCTTTCCACCCTGGTCTGCCATATGTGGGTGATATTTGTGGGTCTCTCTGAGCTTAGTTGGTAGCTCCTGAATTGGTTTCCTATGTTGGCACTATCAACTCAGTAAGCAACAGCTAATCAAGGAATCGCCAAGAACACTCCCACAAACACTGACAGAGGAAGCCCTTTCTATATAAACAGAGAACAAACCCCACTTCTTTCTAGAACTGATAATGTTACATAGTTGGGTAAGAAAAAAAGCATCCAAACTGAGAGAGCACTAAGGACCTCACAGTTTAACCCTGAGTTAACAAATATTCTTGTTTCTGGGTGGTATTTCCTGTACACCAAGGAATTTATTGTCTTCAGAGCGTTTAGGCACTGCTGCCTTGGTCCTTTTCAGTCTTATAAAAGGTTCAAGGGCTGCTGTCCCAAAATATCCTGAGTAGAGGCGACAGATGCCACAGCTTCTTCCTGGGATGCATTTCTGCCACGAGTTATGCTTCTTTTTCTACCCCTGGAAAATGGCTTCAGAGCAGGACTTCGCACTAACTTCTTGTTTGTTGCCTGGAGTGCCTTTCTCCGTTAATCTGGACTTATCCGTAGCTCATGTGTCTCTCCCTTCTGTATAATTCCCTAGTAGCCGTATCGGTGCCAAAGAAGAAGCGAAAGATGAAGGATCTGAACAAGAAGGAAGCCGTAGGAGATTTGTTGGATGCGTTCAAAGAGGTGAGTAGCCCGCACATTACCGGTGGGGAATTAATTAATGATTAATGCAATGATTAATGCAAAATAAAGGGATGTGGTGGCTCAGTGGCTAAGACGCCGAGCTTGTCGATCACAAAGGTCGGCGGTTCGAATCCCTAGCACCAAGTAATGGAGTGAGCTCCCGTTCCTTGTCCCAGCTTCTGCCAACCTAGCAGTTCGAAAGCCTGTTAATAAAAATGCAAGTAGAAAAATAGGGACTACTTTGGTGGGAAGGGAACAGCGTTCTGTGCGCCTTCGGCGTTTTAGTCATGCCAGCCAAATGACCATGGAGACGTCTTCGGACAGCGCTGGCTCTTCGGCTTTGTAACGGAGATGAGCACCGCCCCCTAGCACCGGAAACGACTAGCACGTATGCGCGAGGGGAACCTTTACCTTAATGCAATGTTTCTGAATCTTCGCAACTCTTAAGGTGGCCGGGCTTCAGCTCCCAGAATTCCCCAGCTACCTTGTAACAGAGATGACATTTCCTTGCAAGGGGTAACATGGATGTGCCCCGCTGTTGCTAAGGCACTTAAATTCCTTCTGGTTTTTAAGCTTTGAGGGGGCAGATTAATGTGCCCATCACCACCCCTTGTTACCCCAGTGATTTAGGTTACCTGACTCCCCCTGCTCCATCACAGGTCTCTGCACCATAGCACTGGCTTCAGATTTCAGCCTTCTGAGAAGTTCACTTTCCATGATAAAACCTCAGATGTCAAAAGATGCCCAAGGATCAGAATTCTGTAGGGATCTGAGGAAGGGAGTTCAGTGCCAATGTTTATCTCTTTTTGTTCCTCTTCGCTGTTTTCCATTGTACCACCATAGTTAAATATTTGTGCCATTCTTGGGTGGGGGCAGGGTGGGCTTATGAATGTGGGGACCTTTATATAGAAACATGCATAGCTGTTGTTTCTAGAAACCTCTGCATAAGCTGAGGTCACTTATTTTGTAGGCCCATCAGTTTCGCTCTACTTACAAGGAATCCTCTTCATCTCCTAAGCATCCTGCAGGTTCAACTAATTGGATCTTGGATACGTTCGTTGGGATGGAAACTTAGGTCCACAACTGAGCTCAAAATTTCTGTTGCTAAGTGAGGCAGTTCATTTGAGTTTTGCCCCATTCTACAGTGTTTCCTGCCACAGTTGTTAAGGGAAGAAGGATTAGCAAGACCAAGAATTTTTTATTTATGTATATATATATTATGTCTGTGTGATGATCCGGGGCTTGACCCAAAAATAACACAGTCACAAAAGTAGAATAAATTCCCTTTAATGCCTCCAACTTGGGCCCCAACGTCCAATTATCCTCGGCTTGATATCAAATTCTTCCAAAAACAGTCTACAAAGAGAGTAAATGCAGTCCGAACCAAAAGTAAAGATAATTAGAAATAAAAAAAAACCCAACACAAACCACACTGGAGTCATTAACACGTCAGGCCAGGATGATAAATTGCAGACTTCCACAAGATAACGCAGCAACCACAGTTGGGAAGATGCCAAAACCCAAATAAACCTCGACCAAGATAATGCACACTTTGCTTCCAACAAAGAGCTATTTAAAATGCCCCACTTATATCCTGTCCTCCCAGTTGCAACTAATGAAAGAGATCAGGGCCTTTTCCTCTCCCGTAAGACACATTGCTCCCTTCTCCGTTCCTCCTCGCGTACCCTAGGATGAAGAGGGGGTGGCCCTGGGTCTTCCTCTGAATGCCCAGCTGGACTGTGCTCGTCCCCCATTTCTTCCACAGCCACCAGAGCCACACTCCCACTCCCTGTCAGCTCCTCAATCTCCCCCTTGGAATCAGATTCCAACAAGAGCATGACAGTCTGTCTGTCTGTTTATCTATAATTATTTATCTATCATCTATATCTATATATCTGTGTATCATCTACCTATAATTATCTATCAGTAGGTAGATGATAGATATGTAAATTATATCTAGCTAGCTAGCTATCACTGTCTATTCATCCATCCATCCATCTCAGTGCTTTTGTAGCCATGAGCTGCATGTGAACCTTGTGGGCTTCAGTTTGTTATTTTGGTGCTGGTGAAGAAAGCAGCCATTTTGTTTTGAGCTAGGAGGTGCAGGATGAACACACCACCTCCTGCTGGGAGAGGCGTTTGGTATTACCTAGTGCTGTCCTTCATAGGATCTCTTTGGCTTCGCCTCTTAGGTCAGTGAGGGGGCCTCTGAGACGGAGAACAACCCCCCAGCGCCGGCCCCAGAGCCCGAGGAACCTGTCCCAGCTCGTTCCCAGGAGGAGCCTGAGGAGACCTGGGAACAGAAGGAGGATAAGCTGGATCCTGAGAAGGTCAAGCAAGCGGATCAAAAGTACCGCTACAAGGAAGGTGAGCCAGGTCTGAGCAGCCCTTACAATTTGGGAACGGTCGGGGGGGACGGGGACGACTTCCCATTGAGCTTTCTGTGATGACCTCCTTTTTGAGCCATCGTGTCTGGGCCACTGATAACGCTGATGGAACTGAGGATCTGAGCAGGCTCATTACCCAAGGAGTGCTTGGCTTTTCTTAGATGACTGCCATGCTTTCACAGGACTTTATTATTATTATTTTTTGTCATGACAGACCTGTGTGTCCCCTAAAAATAAGACCGGGTCTTATATTCATTTTTTGCTCCAAAAGACGCACTAACGCCATGATGGCCAACCTATGGCACGCATGCCAGAAGTGGCACACAGTTGCCCTCTCTGATGGCACACAAGCCATCGCCCCAGGTCAGCTCTGATGCACGTGTGTGTGTGTGTACCTCCAACTGGCCTTCAGGTCACATGCACGTGCCTGGGGTGCATTGCATTTTGGGGGTTCGGGCACAGGCACGTGCTTTGGGCACTTGGTCCAGAAAAGGTCAGCCATCACTGCACTAGGGGTTATTTTCCATTAGGTCTTAATTTGGGGGAAACATAAACAGCTGATATTCTTAAAAGGGCTTATTTTGGGGGGTGGGGCTTATATATTGGGAGCATCCTGGGAAATCACGCTAGGGCTTATTTCCCGGTTGGGTCTTATTTTGGGGGGGAAACATGGTAACACATTTGAGTGTTAAAGCCAGTAAACAGCTAGATCATTATATCTCAACCTCAGCAACTTTTTAAGATCTGTGGACTCCAACTCCCAGAATTCCCCAGCTAGCATTCTGGGAGTTGGAGTCTACACATTTTAAAGTGCTCATGGTTGAAAATCACTGGCTGTGCAAACAAGCGAAGCCCCATCCACGGGATGCAGACCACATGTCCCCGACTCCCGTTCCGCGGAAAAAAAACTCCACAGAACCAGTCCCCGTGGCCTCAAAAGTTGGGGACCCTCCGATCTAGTATATACGAACTACTTGAAGGATGTTCTGTTTACAGCCCTGGGCTCTCTATCTTCTTTTCCTTAACAGAGCAATGGAAGCCCTTGAACCCAGAAGAAAAGAAAAGTTACGACCGGGAATTCCTGCTGGGGTTTCAGTACATGTTCGCGAGCATGCAAAAGCCGGAAGGGTTGCCCCATATCAGCGACGTGGTCTTGGAAAAGGTCTGTCCCTCCAATTTCTTTTCTTCAGATGTCCACCAAAATCCCCTCTCTCTCTCTCTTGTGTGAGACTCTTTTGCTAGAGTCTTTGAAGCAGAATCCAGCATGCAGGTCACCTCTGCTCCCCAACCTCCTCCCCCCCCCCCCCCCCAAAATGACCACCACCACCAAAACGGTTGTTGACTTTTGGACGTACTGTTTTTATTTCTACTGTTTTTTGTTTTTCCCCTCAGGGAAGGGTCAGATTGGTAGCAAGCAAGAAAAATCCAGGAGGCATATTGCTTCTGTTTCCGTTGTTATGGCAATAGCACTTATATACCGCTTCACAGTGCTTTACAGCTCTCTCTAAGCGTTTTACAGAATCAGCATTATTGCCCCCAACAATTTAGGTCCTCATTTTATGACCTTGGAAGGATGGAAGGCTGAGTCAACCTTGAGCCTGGTGAGATTCGAACTGCCAAATTGCAGGCAGCTGGCAGTCAGCAGAAGTAGCCTGCCGTACTGCACTCTTAACCACTGCGCCACCGCGGCTCATGGAAGTTATGGAAATTTATGTACCAACTTCCAGGGTTCCCTCCCAAAACAATCCTTCAATCCATCACTGACATTCGGTCGGTTTGTGCGTTAATCTGAGCCATAGAATCTGTGGATTCAGCAGTAGGATTGCCAGTCAAAATGGGAGCAGTGTGCTTCCAGAGATTTTCCAGGCCCATTAAAGAGCCAATTTGGTCCAGTGGTAAAAACATCAGGGTAGAGCGAGAGATTGTGAGTCTTAGTCCTGTCTTAGGCATGAAAGGTGGCTGGGTGACTTTGGGCCAATCACCAGGAGACTGGGAATTATAGTCCTGCCTTAGGCATGAAAGGTGGCTGGGTGACTTTGGGCCAATCACGAGAAGACTGTGAGTTCTAGTCCTACCTTAGGCATGAAAATCAGCTGGGTGACTTTGGGCCAATCACCAGGAGACTGGGAGTTCTAGTCC